AACAGCAATGAAAGCAAACTGCTACGCTGCCTCACATCACCAGACCTCAGCCAGAAAGTTACACAATGAACACACCACAAAGATTACAGCCAGCAGTTCTGCGCCTGCATGAGAGTAAGTAACTCTCCACACCAGCAATTAGTCTGTATTTGTCATTCAAAAATGGACACCGGAAGACCGTCTTGACACTAGTTAGCACATTAACAACACAATCCAATGTTAAAACAACAGAGCATATTTATCGTGCACAAGTGAACAATACCACAAACTATCAGGAAACATTTTTAAAGAAAAATATTCTTACCATATACCCTTGTTTGACTTTACTTTCCTCACTTTCTCTTCTTGTGTGCTGAACTCATCTGCCAGTCAGAGTGATTTCATTCACTGATTGGCTCCTCTGTCATCAACGCTGATTCAACAGTCTGAATCAACCAAAAAAAAAGCCACCGGGGCCAACAAGGGGCAATGGTGCAGGGCACCGACTAAGGTGACAGATGCTCAACGATGGCTGAACGTCAGCTTGGTGTGTCAAGGTCTTTACAGACTCAGATTCATAAATTTATCCTATGTGTGTCTTTTTTAATTATCTTTTTATTTTGCCTCGTGCTAATGTTATATCTTGTATGCAAGTCCTTTTAGGTCTTATGTGAAGGACTTAATGGCCTGTTGTTGAAATGTGCTATATAAATAAACCTTCCTTGCTGTATGCCAACAGATTCTCTGAGTAGAGAACATTTTTTGAAATGTTGGATCTTGGAACCTTTCCAATCCTGTTGGATCAAATATGCATTGTCATCTGCCTTAACAAAGGCTGTTTATTCAGCCTTGTAACCTGAACGTGAGAGGTGATAAAATGGAGTCAGCTGAGAGCTTCTTTTTTTTCCATCTGGAGTGTGCGCACATCCTCTCTGTTTGGCAACGCAGCTCTGAATGACAAACGGTGTATTTCTGTCCAACAGGGTTCGGAGATGCCACATATCCAGATGAAAGGAGGATTGTTCTGGTCGGGAAGACCGGAGTGGGGAAGAGCGCTGCAGGAAACACCATCCTGGGGAGGGAAGCTTTTGAATCTGAGCTGTCTCCGGCTTCCTTGACGTCTGAATGCCAGAAAGCTAAGGGAGTTGTCGAAGGTCGAAAGGTTGCTGTCATCGACACTCCTGGGCTGTTTGACACTAATTTCAACCAAGAAGAAGTGTTAAAGAGGATCAAAATGTGCATCTCCCTGTCTGCTCCTGGTCCTCACGCCTTCCTGGTGGTTCTTCATCTGGGCAGGTTCACCCAGGAGGAGAAGGAAACAGTCAAGATGATTCAGACCACTTTTGGTGAAGATGCAGCTCATTTCACAATGGTGTTGTTCACACATGGAGACCAGCTGAGGAAGCAAACCATTGAAGGCTATATTTCAGAGAGTCCTGACCTACAAGCCCTCATTCGGAGGTGCAACCATCGGTATCATGTCTTTAACAATGAAATCAAAGACCCTGAACAAACCAGTCAGCTCCTGGACAAAATTGACAAGATGACGATGGCTAACGGTGGAGGCTTCTACACCAACGAAATGTTCATGAAAGCGGAATCAGCAATAGAGAAGGAGAAACAGCGACTCCTGAAGGAGATGGCGGAGAAGAGGCAGAGAGAGTTGGATGAACTTAGAGCCAAATATGCAGGACGGGCCTACCGCAGGGAGGAGAAACGGCTGCATGTAAGATATGAGTATGAAGCCAGAGCCCAAGCTGAAAGATCAAATGAATTTGTTGCTGCTCCAGTAATAGCTATAGCAACAGCCTGTGGTGCTGCTGTCGGAGGTGTGCTTGGAATTGCAGGAGGCCCAATTGGTGTTGCCATTGGAGTTGCTGCTGGAGCAGCTTTTGGAGCTGGCATTGGTGCACTTTCACTGAGAGTTTCAGATCGTTGCCATGTGCAATAAGAGCACATAAAATAAGGACTATACAGTTAATTAATGGTGTATAAAGTTGATTATTTTCCAGGAGAGATCTCGTCCTTGAGTCACATATAATCTGCAATTGTTTCTTACTAAACTCTTTCCATATATACAGTGTATATTTATATACATTTATATATTTGCATTAAAGATGGCTCTCATAATCACTTTTTGTTGATAGCTGAAATAGGTAGAGCTGATTTATTTGTCTTGACTGTATAATATTGGGTAATATATATTATTGTACTTACCATGATGGATTGTGACTGATTGATTATACTTGTGTAGATTCTCAATAAATTGTATTAAACTGAATGTGGATTCTGTGCATTCATTTTTTATTTTTATTTTTTAATTCATTTGTAACAATAGATGATGAGACATAGAGTGCTCATTTTCAGGTTTTACTTTACATTTTGGGTTTCTACTAGAATATGTTAATATGGTTTGATATTAGATATATTCAAAAAACACTACTGTCTGTGGTGAAGCACTGCAGAGATGCAATATTCTGTAGGCTGACATGGAAGTTAGCGTCACTTGGGTTCCCTTCACAAAAAGCCAATGGGATTTTTTCACTGGATTTTGGATTACTGCTGAAAAAAAACAACTGTGTCAAAAAAAGTTTATAATACTTACATGTTTTGTTTGAAATAATCTTTACAAATGAACACCACTTTTATGATTTTTGAAGCATAAATGCAATGGCTTAAAGTGAAAAATTAATATTAGGCTATACACGAACTTACACCATGGTCGCATGACTAACGTCACCACACAACACATTTTCATCCCAAGTTGTCACATTTGTCAGTGGACTTTCACATCCACAAATTACACACTAGGTATCCTCTTGCATCTGCTGTTGACGCTCCAGGATGCCGCAACCAAAGAATGTAAACAAAAGCACATGGTTAGATTTAGAAATAAACATCATGGTTTGGCATTACATTCATACAGGGAGCAAACATCGGGCTCCCAGGTGAAAGTCCAGGGATTGTTGGACGCATCCAACATCTCATCTGCCCGCCATATAGGGACCTCAAGCTCCCTATATTATGTCGTCAACGGCAGTGTTTCAACCTGATGCTGTCTGGTAGCTTTTGGCATCTCATGTCTAATGCCGAAATCAATGAAGGGACCGTATCTGATGACTTTGGAATGAGAACGAGCTGCAATACCACAACAAGGCTGTAAAGCCGTGGTTGCCGTGATAACATTCTGTCGTCTCATTTAGCAAATTGATAGCAACCTTTTTCTAAGATGCATTAAAATTTTAAAATTCATGGTGGGGTATTTACTGATAGGTTGTAGAGCAAAATGTCTCTTCATCTTGTGTTAACCACAGATCGTATTTCTGGAGTTTAACCAACAATTCATGAAAAAAAAAAACATTGACTTTGAGATGAGGTAACTGGGAGTGCTAAAATGCTAACTCATTTCCAGGTTTTAGGACTCATTCCTGGGGCACTATATGGACAGAATCATATTTAGCCTATGGGTTTATTATACGTGTGTGTGATGTAACGCTATTGCTGATCATATTTGGTCAGGTGTTATAATATACCTCTTATAATGACTACATGTCATCTTTGACACTGCAATGTCCATAACATCACATCAGCTGATAATGGTTCTCAATGAGTTACCTTGACAACAGAGTATGTTTACATCTCTTTTGTAAACTACTCACCATCACAAGTCAGCTCAGCTGCTACATTTTCCCAGATGTTCTCTTTCTATCCATTTTCTTTATAATCTTTACTTTATTTGTCAGAGGTCACTATATTGTGAGCTCAGTATACATATTATTGTTTTACGGTATGAAGAGAATTATGACATTGATTTATGAAAAAACAGGTGTCTGATCAGATGAGCAAAACACTGGCTGGCTTGTTTTTATTGCTATCCAAAATTCATTGAAATTGAAACAATGGTGGGAAAAGAAACCTGCACTGCAACATAAAAAGTGTTGGATTTGGTGTACATGGGCTCACAGTGATGATCTCCTGAAACTGTCAGTATATTCTAAAAGTAGTACATGAGGCAGTCTGTGAAAAAAATCATGTCCATCTTCAACACCTTCTCATCAAAAATTGTTACATTCCCATTTTGTCAGTGGCTGTCTACATGTGACGCGTTAGGTATTCTCCTGCATCTGCAGCTGACATTCTGGAACACCACAACCAATGCTGGGACGTCAACACTGGGTGGTGGTTAGGTTTAGGCAACAAAAGTACATTGTTAATTTTATAAAAAAATAGTCAAAATTATAGTTTGGCTCAACATTCACACAGAAAGCAGACAATGGGCTCTTTGTTGGACCCATCCACCACCCCTCCCGCCCATCCTATAGGGACTTTCCAGCTCCTTATATTACGTTGTCACTGGCAGTGGTTCAATCTGACACTATCCATCTGCGTATCATACTGCTGCGACTGGTACCATCCGGCCATGTTACAAACTGATGCCATCCAGTGGTGTATCTGCGAAAGGCAGCTTTTGGCGTTGGTGTCTGACGCCGAAATCACTGACAAAGCAGTGGTATTTGATGACCTCAGAATGAGAACGGGCTGGGTTGTAGACCCCTCCACTCTGATTGGTTGTTTTTGTTCACATGCAGTGACGCCAGTAGAAATGCTACAAGGCAATAGAGTAGGCAGAGGAGTGATTTTTCCAGAAATCTCATTTAGTGCTTTGTGAATAAGCAACAATTTCAGCAAATATGCAAAAACCTATTTTTTTGTATAAAAGTTATCAGCTGCAGCTTTAAGGCTGCCTAATATGTATATTTTCAATTAGCCTACCTTAAATTAGAGCTACAAAAAATTGTATGCCTCGCTGTGAATTTTTTTTTATCTTCTAAGTACTGTGTAAATGGGTTTTCTACTGTATATAGCCTACTTTGAAATACAGATGATGATGATAATAATAATATGGGATTTGTTGCATAGTACAAATCTGCATTTACTGTAAGTTTGATGTTTTATACAGTGCCAGTAGCAAAAGAACAAAAAGCTGAAAACAAAGTTGGTACTGTGCTTTATTTCTACAGGCTCTCGGAAGGAGAAGAAAAGTGATGAACTCCGAATCATTTTGGTGGGGAAGACAGGAGCAGGGAAGAGTGCAGCAGGAAACACCATCCTGGGGAGAGAAGCGTTCCAGTCTGAACTGTCTTCTTCTTCCTGGACACTTCAATGCAAGAGAGAAGATGGAGCAGTAGGCGGTCAAAAGGTTGCCGTCATCGACACTCCAGGACTGTTTGACACTAACTTCACCGAAGATGAAGTGCTGAAGAAGCTCCAGATGTGCATCTCTCTGTCTGCTCCTGGTCCTCACGCCTTCCTGGTGGTCCTTAAGCTGGGCAGGTTCACCAAGGAGGAGAAGGAAACCATTCAGATGATCCATAGTACCTTTGGTGAGGAGGCAGCGAAATACTCACTCGTGCTGTTCACACATGGAGACTATCTAAAGAAACAAACTATTGAAGGCTTTCTTTCAAAGAGTAAAGAGCTCAGAGAGCTCATAGAGGCATGCTACGGAAGATATCACGTCTTCAACAACCAAGTAAAAGACCAGGCACAGGTTGATCAGCTCCTGGAGAAAATTGTCACAATGACATTGGAGAACGGTGGAGAGCACTACACCACAAAGATGTTCAAGAGAGCAAAAAAGGCCTCAAAGAAAGAGAAGAAAAGACTTTCAAAGGAGCTGAAGGCAGCAGAACAGGAGAGGGGGCAAACCCTAAAGGCTGAGGTTGAAAGAGAAATTAATTTAGCACGAGGGTCAATGAAACACAACAAATGTCTTCTGCAGTAGGAGATGGAGGTATTCTGGTTATTCAGAAGCAGATGAATTTGGTGAACAGACATAGCTGAACTTTAGGACTGAAGGTCCTTTCATCTGCTGATTAAAAGTCACTTTTACAAACCTACATACAGCCAGGAAGCTTTGGTCTAACCATGTCTGCAGGATTTCTTTGTATTCCATTTAGTGTAGCTGCATACACATTTACATGCTGAGTCATGGTGTGTTTAAAGGCGGTTTAGCAGCTGCAGTCAGATGTCGGGGAGTTGTTTGATTTTTCACTTTTCCACCAAATCAGCTCTGGTTCTCTGGAGCCTTGGAGTTTTCCAGTTATCCCACCTGTATTTCCACCAGTTTTGTAACCAAAAATAGGTCATCAATGGAGGACATTGCACAAAGCACACGGGAAGTAAACAGCAGCAAAATCACGTTACATTGATTACATGCAAACTTTAGTTCTGTTAGTACAGATATTTCTTTTTAACCCAAAAAAAAAAAACAAGCATGGACCAACTATTAAGAGAGGGACCCAACTGCAATCAAGATGGCTGACTAGGGCGCCGCCATATATCCAGTCTATACCGGAAAGTTGGAAAGTCCCAAGCGGAAGTTTCTTGACTCGATGGTCTGGGCTAACGTTAGCTTAGCCAAAGAAAGTACGCTAATGGATTTGGCAAAGTCGTATGGCAATTTTTTCAACGTTTTTGGTGTGTGTATTACCCTATACACACACACACGCACATATTTATTTCTTAGATATATATGTATGTGTGTGTATAAATAGATATATATATATAACGGTAAGATATATAACGGTATATATACACATATAGTTCGTGTGATCCTGGTCACATTATTATTACCATCAAGGAACATATCTGTTGCCCGGACATAGAACTGTTGGCTGTTGGACTCAGGCCGTGTTATTTGCCAAAGGAGTTTTCACATGCCATTATTATGACTGTGTACATCCCTCCTCATCCTCATCCATCCTTCAATCATGTCACCATGGCAACGACACTTTGTTTTTTTTTACACTAGTATGTGTGCCACTGCTGTATATATTGTTGCATATATTCTATTGTATTGTATATATTGTTGTACATTTTATATTTCTATATGTTATATATTATACTACAGTCTTTGTTGAATAGGAGCAACTGTAACACTAACAATTTCCCCCCGGGGATCAGTAAAGTATTTCTGATTCTGATTCTGATTCTGATATATTCTTTTCTTCCAGATGCACCCTTCTATAATTGAAAAAGGCGACATTGTTGTATGTTCATGTATTTGTTTGCCTGTTCTGTTTTATGCTTTTCCCTTGTTTTTGATTTGTGATTGAACTCAGTAAAGACGTTGTTTACAAAAAAGAGAACTCCAAGTGAAGTTATTATTGCCAGTATGATAGTGTAATATTGTGTTTTATTGGATTCCAGAAATAAAATAGAATTAACAGAAGACTGACAATAGGAAAATATAATTATTGCATTCATTTAATAGCTAAACTGGATAATGAACACATCTCTAGACCCAGGAAATGCCTGTTCTGTTGCAGTAACAAATGTCTGGCGCCATTGTGTTGCCCATGATGTCCCCGCTCATCCCTGAAGATCCCTGGTGGATGAAAATACAACCAGCAGGATTGAAGTCATTTCTCTAAGCTGCTCTTCTGTGCCTTTGAACAAACGGGGTGTGGGGAGCTGTGTCTGCACAGTGTTTGAATGATATTTGTAGCAGAGGCAGATTAATACACCATGAATCTACAACAATTTTCCTTCCTCCCCAGCAGACTGCAGCATAAAACAACACACTTGCCACCACAGACTGATAAAACATCTGCAGCATCTTACTACAGATGTCAAGAGATCTGAGCTTCCTTAAGAAAAAGAGGCGGCTCTGCCCCTTTTTGTAGAGAGCGTCTATGTGTAGGGACCAGTCCAAATTATTATCCAGGTGTACACCTAGATACTTATGACTTGGCACCACCTTGATGTCCATCCCACAGGTATTCACTGGCTGAAGAGGGGGCTTGGACCCGCAGAAATCTATAATCATTTCCTTGGTCTTTGAGGTGTTCAGTAGGAGACAGTTCTTGTGACTCCAGTCACTGAAGGCTTTTATCAGTTCCCTGTATTCAGATTCCTGCCCATTCCTGATACATGCCACAATAGCAGTGTCGTCCGAGTATTTCTGGATGTGGCAGGACTCAGAGTTGTATTTGAAGTCTGCTGTGTACAGTGTGAACAGGAATGGAGCCAGGACAGTCTCCTGTGGAGCCCCCGTGCTGCTCATTAATGTCCCAGAAGCACAGTTCCCCAACCTGACATACTGTGCGCTTCCTCTCAGGTAATCTGTGATCCAGGAGATAAAGGAAGGATCATATGATTAATGCATAATGTCTGGGCAGTACAACCCTTACACTGTACCACCAATGATTTACAGTGCCTTCTTTTTTACTGTTAACATAAATTAATATTAACCATATGCTAATGTGAAAGTAAGTATGACATTTGTTGTGACCATGTGTGCATGTTGCAACTGCAGCCTAATCTGAAAGTGCTGTTTATTTGGTTGTGTAAATTCTCATTTTTTATTAATTCTCAGTTTATTTAATCTGAGAATTCAGTTTATTTAACTTTAGTTATTCTTCAGTCCTATTGTGAATGTGTGTGTGTGTATGTGTGTGTGTGTGTGTGTGGCCACCACCACACAAACATAATATTTACATTTGTATTCATAACGTTGATATTAAAGTTAAATCCATGAAACGTTAGCATTATAACTTAGTGATATTATTGTAGGCTTTTAACTAACTTCTGAGTTTTACAGTAGCCTATAAAGTCGTGGCGAGACAATTAACTAGTCACTTATACCGTTACGATAAACATGTAACTGCACAAAATGCATAAAATTATGTTATGTGTAAACGTACGTGTTTTTTAAGCTTTTATTTTTGTTTTAGCTCGGTCATACTTCCGGGATCGAGCGGCGATTAACCAACTTCCGGTTGTGACTTCCGGCATGGATTGGATGTATGGCGGCGCCTTGTCGGCCATCTTGACTGCAGCAAGGTACTCTTGACTATTAATGAGAAACTATTCAAAATTTGGTGCGTGAACCAGAACGGAACCAGTTCTATGATGGTAAGAAAGGGTTTTCACAAATTCTGTGCAAAACACTAAATCACATGCTGAGTCCTCAGAGTACAGCCAACTATTACTATAGCACCAGCTCAAATGTTACATTTGAACAATATTTCCCTGGAGAGCGGCAATGCAGCATGAATGCTAATGAACTCATTACCAAACACACAATTGATTAAACAAACCCGTGGTAGAAACAGAGGGAGAAAATGAAAACTAATGCGATAAAGTACAGTCACAGTGATCCTTTTGTGTACAGCCCAGTTCAGACCCAAGATTTGCAACGCAACAAGTTAAAACAGGCAAGTACTTGCACAAAACCAGCCGCCCATGATTTGGCCATGTAAGTTGCAGGTCACACCATCAGCCGGCTTGAGTTGTGCTTACACTGGCCAGTTCACACCGCTGAAACTTTTCTCTGTAATATTATTAAATGATTTTGTCTTGTCGCCAATCATTGGTCTGAACTGGGTTTAAGAATGCAGGTTCACTGTGAAGTCAACATTACTGTACTGCATTATTTATAAATTGCATTTAAATTCATGTTGCTATTTCTATAATCTTGAGGAAATTACCATTCTGTAGAGAATTAGTTAGTTTACATTATTATTTTACCATTTCATTTAGATTTGCAATAATTATCCAGATTTAGTGATGAACATACACTCAGAACATTTACATGCACAGTTAATTGGACTACAGTCCTTGTCCCACTATACAAGCACAAGAGGGGCATCAATTATCAACCTAAAGTGCAACACACACCGCCGCCGTACGCCGCGCGTCAAAACGCCCGCCTCCATTATATTCTATGAACCAACCCACACTGCCGCCGCCGCTCTGCTTCAGCCCACTGCTCTATTTCCAGCGCGGCCGGCGCTCATGGCAGCGCTGCGAGAAAAGCCTTTTATGTACTTTTCGGCCGCCGTAGTATCAACTCCGGTTGTTTTAAATCTTTAATAAGACGACTTTGATAAGAAACTCCAACTCACCCGTGAAATCCAAGTTGTTGTAGCCTCAAAGTTTTTCCTCTTCTTCATCCGTTACTAGCAGTTGGCAACCGTTGGCAACTAGTGTAGGTACAGCCACCTAGCGGGCTGGGGTGGGAAATACACGTCGACGGTGGTGCTGCGCGCCGCTGCCAGTGTGTGCTGGGGGGCGGCACTTGACGGCCACAGCGCCGCGCCGGCGGCGGTGTGTGTTGCACTTAAGTGTGTCTGAGTTCGCTATGATAGGTGGGGAAAATCAAAATGAAAGAGGCTGCTGCGTGCTGTAAAACAGCAGCCTGAACAATACTGAAGTTCTTAACTATATGATTGATTTAACTTCTCATACGGTATGGTTCTCAAAAGGAACATATCGAAGGATATCGACAACCTAAAAAAGTCGCTGGATTTCCTCACGGAAGAAGTTTCTGCTGTCCACAAACAGCAACTTCATAAATAGCCAACAAAAAGGCTCTATTTAGCCAACTGCATGACCGCTGCTATTGATGTATGTATGTGAATGTATTTCTATAGAGATTATCATGAAGAAAAAGAAAAACATCACTGTTAGCTGTGTTTACAAAGCTCCCAGGTCCAGTGTAGAAAAGTTTAACCCATGTGTTACCCCTGGACATTTTTGTCCATTTCCAAAATTCAAAACTCCCTCACAGACAAATTAAAAGGTCACAGGGGGGTGATTTTTTGCATGGGGGTGTCATTCTGGGTGAAATTTCAAAATCCCAACTTTCAGCATGAAAATGCGTTATTTGACCCTGTAATGCATTTTTATCCCAGCAACAATAACAAATGGCTAAATGACAGGTGGACATTTTTGTCCACTTGAAGGGTCATGGATGGGATAAAAATGCATTACAGGTTCAAATAATGGATTTTCATGCTGAAAGTTGGGATTTTGAAATTTCACCCAGAATGACACCCCATGCAAAAAATCACCCTCCTGTGACTTTTTGTTGGACACTACAAAAGTTTCTAGAAAATGGACATTTTTGTCCACTTGAAGGGTCATTTTTTGAAGGGGAACACAATTAAGGAAGTGATGGAAAGTATGTTTACAAACACTGAGCTGAAGGTCACTTTTATTTGTGGTTACAACTAGATCTATGAAACCCAAATAATCTAGCACTGATTGATGATTTTACTGCTGCAATGTATAGTATGGGCCTATATCCGATCATTACTAAACCCAGTAGAATAACATCCCAATCAGCTACAATTATAGATAATGTATTTACTAATAACTTGGAAGAAAATATGATCAGTGGATTACTAATGAATGATATAAGTGACCATCTGCCAGTGTTTGCTATTTATGACTGTGAATTTAAAATGATTAAGAAGGAAAATGTAACAAGACAGAAGAGAGTAAGAATGAAGGATACCCTTGAGGCACTGAGATCTGAATTGCTGAGACAGGACTGGAGAAATGTATATGAAGTAGTGGATGCTGACTCTGCTTATGACTCTTTTTTTTGGATACTTTCATGTCCATATATGATAGAAGCTGTCCAATGCAACAAAGCAGCTATACACCTAAAAGCCCTGATAAACCATGGATCACAAAGGGGTTGCTGAATGCCTGTAACAAAAAAAAAAAAAAAAAGAACATGTTGTACAAGGAATTTATAAAACACAGAACTAGAG